GGGGCCAGCTGTGTGACCCGAACTCCAGGGCAGGGAGGGGCTCAGGTTTGGGTGGAGCTGAGGACCAAAGGTGGGCATAATGCCCACACAATTAACCACCAAAGAGCCAGCGTGAAGCTGTGGCTCAATTGGTAATGTTAGCCTTGAGTGAACAAGCTAAGAAACAATCACCCAGGCCCTGAGTTCAAGCCCTCATACCAGTATTAAATATATTTTTTTACATATATTTAAAAAATATATATTTAACGCTGGTATGAGGGCTTGACAGTGCCCCTCCCCCCATGTTTCTGCACCTTTGGCTGCCCACAAAATCCCAGCAAATGAACGTGGGCATTCATTACTTAAAATACCCAACATTTCTGGAAAGTGAGGGTAGAAAAATGGAACATTGAACCCTAAAGCCTTCTCAGCAAGGAGAGCCAGGCCGTTTCATGATCTGCCCACAAAAAATTAACATTTGCCTGAACAGCTGAAACTCAGATCATAAAGATGTGGGACTGCTTCTGAGCCAAACAAACCAATGTGGTGCATTCTTTTTTTTTGGGGGGGGGTCAGTCATGGGGCTTGACCTCTGAACCTGGGTGCTATCCCTTAGCTCTTCAGCTCAAGGCTAGCACTCTACTACTTGAGCCACAGCGCCACTTCCGGCTTTTTTTTTCTTTTTGCTTATGTGGTGCTGAGGAATCGAACCCAGGGCCTCATGCATGCAAGGCAAGCGCTCTACCACTGAGCCAACTTCCCAGCTCCTGTGGTGCATTCTTATCAGCCAGCTGCACCATGAACCAGAGTGGCTGTCACTCCAGCCTCTCCTTGTTCCCCCACTCACTCACACTGACATTTATGTTTCTGAAGTTCTGGGTTCAAATTCGAAGAAATGCAAAATAGTACAGCACTGTCCTGGGAAGGGCTGCAGGACAGCCCCGCTGCACAGAAATGGCTGACAGGAAGCAAAAAATTCCCAGCGCGCAGGATAGTGGGTGCCTGTAAGCAAGCGTGGCACTTGTGGTTCTGTTGGCCACCCATGACACGGATCTCAATGAGACAGCACCCCCTGGAGCCGGCTTCCAACACAGCAGTCAGATGCTCCTGCAGCATGTAGCCCCCTCTGATTGGACACACCTCTGGGGTCCAGTGTGTTGTTCACTTCACCTGCAAGTCTTCCAAGGTCAATGGGCCCTTATGCGCTGCCCAGGGGCCCACATGTACCGCTGCCCAGTGCCCTGGTGAGGCATGCCGAACTTTCATGGTTGCCTCCCCAGGCTCTTTGTGGGCTCTTGCTCATACTCCATAATTCCAAAGCACGGGCAAAGCTGCAGTAATCAAGATAAACCTGACTAGAATTGGACAGACACTAGATCGATGGAATAGAATTGGTAGTCCAGAAAAAAACGATTTACATTTATGCTTAATTAGTTTTTACAATTACCCACAAGGGCACCGAGACACAGGAGCTGCGCGGTCCCTCGTAAATGGTGCTGGGCCGAGTAGCTACGTGTGAAAGAACCAGCAGATCCCTTCCTCATGCCACACACAAAAGTAATTCAGGTTGCTGGGCACCAGTGGCTCACACCGTCATCCCACAGCTATTCAGGAGGCTGAGACCTGAAGATCATGGTTCAAAGCTAGCCTGGGCAGGAAGGACTGTGACACACTTACTTCCAATTAACCACCAAAAAGCCAAAAGCAGAGGTATGGCTCAAGTGGTAGAGTGCCAGCCTTGAGTGAAAAAATCTAAGGGGCAATACCCAGGCCCTGAGTTCAAGCCCTAATGTCAGCCAAAATAATTTTTTTTCAAGTGGCTCGTGGGCCCAAGGCAATAGCTAAGACTATATAGAAACTTCTAGAAGAAAACCCAGGATCAAGTCATCATGTCCTCAAATTAGACAATGTTTTCTTTTTTTTTTTTTTATTGTGTCCGGTCGTGGGGCCTGAACTCTGGGCCTGGGCGCTGTCCCTCAGCTCTTCAGCTCAAGGCTAGCGCTCTACCACTTGAGCTACAGCACTACTTCCGGCTTTTTCCTTTTTGCTTATGTGGTGCTGAGGAATCGAACCCAGGGCCTCAAGCAAGCAAGGCAAGCGCTCTACCACTGAGCCAACTTCCCAGCCCGACAATGTTTTCTTAGAAGATAAAAGCCTAGAACTCTGGAAGTGACGCTGTGGCTCAAGCGGTAGAACACTCGCCTTGAGCTGAAGAGCGCAGGGACAGCGCCCAGGCCCAGAGTTCAAGCCCCACGACTGACCAAAAAAAAAAAAAAGCCTAGAACTCATAAATGTTACAGACCACAATAGACAATTTGCCCCATGAAAGTTAGAATGTGGTTGTGACTTTAAGCATCACTATCCCACAATACTGTGAAATTTGGAAAATTATGTAATCACTTAATCACAATAAAGAATTTGAAAAAATAATAAAAAAGATAAAAGCCCAAGCAATCTTTTTGAAAAATAGACAAATCTGACCTCATTAAAATTAGACATGTTGTTCTTTAAGAAAAATAGACAAATCTGACCTCATCAGAATTAAATATTTTGTTCTTTAAACACAAATGTCAAGCAAGTGAAAATACAACGTACAAAGTGAGAAACAATGTTTGAAAATATGCACCTGATTGTATATAAATATATTAAAATGCTTGTAACTCAGAAGCAATAAAAGATGAAAAAAAATGAGCTGAGCTCAATGCCTATAATGCTAGCTACTCAGAAGACAGATTTAAGGATCGAGGTTTAAAGCCAGCCTAGGCAGGAAAAGTCCTGAGAGAGGGCATGGTCCATTTACAAGGGCGTGGCTTAGTGGTGGAGGGTGTGGTTCCATTGCAGGAGGCGTGGCTTAGTGGGAGAGGGTCCGTTATAGAGGGCGTGGTTTAGTGGTAGAGTTTAGCTCAGTGGTAGAAGGCTTGCCTAGCACTACTGAGGCCTAGATTCCAACCCCAGAAAGGGGGAGAGGGGAACTAAGAACTTGAACAATCATCTTTCCAGACAGACAAATGGCGAGCAAACACATGAAAATCTGCTCAATGTCATTAGTCAAGGAAACGCAAATCAAAACCTTAAGATATCAACATCGTGAGAGAGAAGGTGGAGGAATGCAGCCTCCCCAGTGCGGGTGGGGCTGTGAGGGGTGGCCCCTGAGGAGCAGGCAGTTCCTCAGAAAGGAGGTTACCATATGACTGGACAATTCCACTCCCAGTGATATACAAAAATGTGTCCCCCCTCCCATCTGTGCGAGGGTGGGAGGAGGGCACAGAATCTGAAGACAAAGGGTGAAAGAGTACAGCCATGGAGCTCACTGGACATTGATGAAAGTGAACTCTGCAACTTGTGGGTGGAGAGGGAGGTAGGATGTGGGAGAGAATGAGGGAACAGATGACACTGTGCAGAAAGGAAATGCACTCAATTACCTATGTAAATGTAACCCCTCTGTATATCACCTCTAGAATAACAATAAAGTGAATTCTATTTTTTTAATGTGTCCCCACAAAGAAGGTGTGTGCAAATGTTGATTATAGCCCAAAGCAGAAACACCTGAATATTCATCAGATGATGAAAAATGAATGTAATATTTGCATGTGAAGGAATATTAGTCCTAAGAGTAGAAGGCCCCTTTCCCTACTATGCCATGAACAGACCTGCAAACAGGCTCAGAGAAAGAAACTGGACAGCCAGGTACTGCTGGCTCATGCCTGTCATCCTGGCTACAGAGGAGGCTAAGATCAGGGGATTTCAGTCTGACGATAATGCAGGGAAGAAAACTCCACAAGACTCCCTCTCCATTTAACTAGCAAAAAGCTAGGCTAGCCTAGCGCCAGGGCTCATGCCTGGAATCCTAGCTACTCAGGAGGCTGAGATCTGAGGATCATGCTTCAATGCCAGCTTGAGCAGGAAAGTCCATGAGACTCTTATTTCCAATTGATCACAGAAAAAGCTGGAAAGTGGTGCTGTGGCTCAAAATGGTAGAGTGCTAGACTTGAGCAAAAAGAACCAGGGACAATGCCCTGGCCCAGAGTTCAAGCCTCGGGAATGGCAAAAACAAAACTGAGCTAGAGGCATGGTTCAAGTAATAGAGCACCAGCAGAGTGAGTTCCAACCCTGGCACCTTTGTGTGTGTGTGTGTTGAGAGAGAGAGAGGAGAGAGTGCCAGGCTAGAAGCATGGCTCAAATGGTAGACCTGCTTAGCAAGTACATGGCCTTGAGCTCAAACCAGGTTGAGCTGTGATTTTTTTTTTTTTTGCCAGTCCTGGGGCTTGAACTCAGGGCCTGGACACTGTCCCTGAGCTTCTTTTGCTCAAAGCTAGTGCTCTACCACTTGAGCCACAGCACCACTCCTGGCTTTTTCTGTTTATGTGGTACTGGGGAATTGACCCTCGGGCTTCATGCATACTAGGCAAGCACATTGCCACTAAGCCACATTCCCAGCCCCTGAGCTGTGGATTTTATGGTATATCAATTATGATCTAAAAAGTAGAGCCACTGGGATGAAGTCAGTGGAGCTTGGTCAGCTGTCAGCTGTCCAGGGCTGCACAAGTCCTGTCTAGCTGAAGCTGGAAGGATTTGGCCTTGTAGAGGAAAGGGCATGGAGAGTCAACAGGCTCACGGGCCTACCTGGGGGATACAGTGGGCAAGATGAAACTGTCCTGCCCTCTCCTCCACATGCCTCATCTCCTGGGAGGGGATGGATGGTCAGAGGGTTGGTCCTGGCACTCACAGGGCAGGAATCTCAGGCATGTGGCTATAAGCCCAGCTTTCCCTCAGGGACCTCCTCCCCCCTGGCTAGGTGGCAGGTGGGGCTCCAACCCCTGACATCAGCTGGAGGTGGGAAGGCCCAGTAGCCCATGCTAGGGCCTGGTCCACTCCAGAGCCCACCCTGCCCCCTCTCCGTGCTGGGCTGGACTGCCTGGAGGAGTGAGATGCATTTACATTTTTCTGGTCTTTCCTGCCCTCCCTGGCAGCCTGACTAACCAGATCTCCAGGCCTGAGGTGTGGGTGCGGGGTGCAGCAGGAGGTAGCTAGACCAACCCCTGAGCCTCGGGGTGCTCTGCTTGCTTGCTGGCGATCATGGGGTTCCCCAAGAGGCAACCTCGCCCTTGGCTGCTCCTCTCCGTGCTGATCTGTGTCCAGCCTGGCCTGAGCCTGGGTGAGTGAGGGTCGGGGCTAGAAGATGACCCAAGGTACTAGGAAACCTGATAGAATGACTGGACACTGGGGGCCCATCCCCTGGAACTGGGAGCAGCGGTCCCAGGGCCCCCGGGGCCCCCGAGACCCTCTTACCCACTAACACCCACCCCTACTGCCCCCTTCTCCCTCCCCCCACTAGCCACAGAGCTGATCCCCTTCAGACCACAGATAACAGGCTGGGACCTGGAAGGGAAGGTCACAGCCACTACGTTCTCTCTGGCGCAGCCTCGCTGTGTCTTTGATGAGCTTGCAGACACAGCAGACACTATCTGGCTGGTAGTGGCCTTCAGCAATGGTGTGTGTTCTGGGGCTCCCGGGTAAGGGTGTGGCTGAGGGGGAGCTGGGGATTTCTAGGAAGGGAATCCCTGGAGAGGGTGGGAGGAGGGCTTGATCCCAAGGGACTCTGAAGGTGGAAAAGCTGGTTTTGTCTCTGGACTTCTGAGGAAGGGGATGGTGTGGGGACTCAGGGCTGGAGGAGATGGCCACAGTGGCCCTGGTCCGCAGGACAGGACCGTCTCTTCCGTCTGTCTGTCTGTCCCTCCATCCTGCAGCCTCCAGCAGTTTCCAGAATCCTCAAACGCTGGCCGAGATCCCAGCCTCCCCACATCTGCTGAGCGATGGCTACTACATGACTATGCCCTTGTTCCTGGACCACCTGCCCTGCGAGGACCCGGAGGGTGGCAGTGGCGGTGTCCCCGTGCTGCGGGTGGGCAACGATGTCAGCTGCAGCCAGCAGCCCTATTGCAATGACCCCCTGCCCAGCCCAGGCCCCTACAGGTGTGTTGACCCCACCCCCGTACCCTGGGATTTGGCCAGGTGGGGAGGGAGGCGGGGCTATCCCCGCCCCCAAGCTCTCGGATTGGGTTGTGCTGCTGAGAGGGTGTGGCTTCTAGGATTTGATTGGGTTGGCCCCGCCCCCAGGCCCTAGGATTGGTCCGTGGTGGGTGGGAAGGTCGGCGTCAGGGACCAGGTTTCATCTCCCTTCCTGGCCCCGCCCAGGCCTGGATGGAAGGCTGCACAAGCGGCTCCTCCCTGCCAGCCTCAGTTTACATCTTGAGTGGGGTAACAGAAAGCGGCCTTTCCTCGAGCAGGAGGTGGGCTCCAGGCAGCGGGATCTCAAAGCGGAGAGGGGGGCTGGGGGACGGCTGTTGCTACTCCTACCCACTTCTACAAATGAAGAAACTGAGGCACGGAGTGTCGGTTGGCCTGTTGAGGTTGTAGTGAAGCTGAGATGAGAAAACAGGGGACCTCTTGGGGCCTGTCCCACCAGAAAAGGAGGCCCGAACGTGGGATACAGAGCAGAGAACACAGGGGAGACAGCCCCGCTCCTGGCCCCCACAGCCTCACCGCTTGGGCCTCCAGCCCCTCTCCCGCGCCTCCTTACCCGGTCTAAAGGCAGGCAGCACCCTGCCTCCAGGCCTCTGAGTCCCACCCTACTCCCATTCTCCTCCCACCCAGTGTTAAGTTTCTCCTCATGGATGCCAGTGGCTCCCCCAAGGCTGAGACGCAGTGGTCGGACCCCATCGCTCTCCAGCAAGGTACACTACCCGCCTAGACTTCCCAGCTCAGGGGGCTGCCCACTCACCTGCTGCAGAGCTGTCCTGCTCAGCTGGCGCCCTGCTTCCAGGGAGTGGGGCCTCCAGAACACAGACCAACCCCCAAGTAGACCTCAGGCGGGAGTGTGGGCCTGGGTCAGCTCTATCATCGGGGTGCCCAGTCCCCAGCCCTACTAGGGACAGAAGCAGCCTGTGGCCTTCGAGGACCCAGCACCAGGCCAGCTGCTGAGTTTGGTGAGAAGGACCTGAGCACAAAGGAAGCCAAAGCCAGGGCTGGGCAGCGGATTCTAGGAGTTTCTCCAGAGGCGGAGAATGAAACAGCCAAGCATGGTGGTTCTCACTTGTAGTCCTGGTACTCAGGATCACAACTTCAGGACCAATCTGAGCTATGTAGGAAAGACCCTGTCTCAACAAGAGGGGGGGGAGGGGGGAGCATAGTGGTACACACCTGTAGTCCCAGCTACGCAGGCAGTGGAGGAAGGCTTGCTGTCTGAGGCCAGCCTGAGTAAAAATGTAAGACCCTATTAAAATAAAAATACAATAAAATAAAACTAAAGCAAAAAGAGCTTGGAGGCATAGCTCAACAAATGTGAGGCCCTGAGTTCAGACTATAGTAACATCTAAATAAATAATTTGGACAGCCAGGTGCTGGTGACTCATGGCTATAATCCTAGCTACTCAGGAGGCTGAGATCTGAGGATCACAGTTCAAAGCCAGGCCAGGCAGGAAAGTCCATGAGACTCTTATCAACAATTAACCATGAGAAAAATCAGAAGTGGTGCTATGGCTTAAGTGGTAGAGTGCCCACCTTGAGCTGAAGAGCTGAGGGACAGCATCCGGGCCCAGAGTTCAAACCCACAACTGATCCCCCCCCAAAAAAATATATGTATATACATACATCTTTTTAGATGATCCAAGCACATAAAAGTGTTTAGGCAAAAGGAGTGGCGGCAGTTGCCTGGGAGGTGGGCTGTGAAGGCCATGGGGGGAGTAAGGTGGGAAGATCGCAGCTCCTGAAGGCCTTGAATGACAGACTCCAGAGAGCAGAGCAGAGACCCCTGAGTCTGTCTGGATCCCTCAAGCAGCCAGGCTGTGAGCATGGCTGGGGAGAGAGGAAGGAAGGGAGGGAGAGAGGGAAAGAGGGAGGAAGGGAGAGAGGGAGGAAGGGAGGGAGGTCCCAGGCAGCCCTGGATCCCATCCCTCTGAGTAGCCCTGTGGTACAGGCAAAGCCCCGGGCTCCATCGACACCTGGCCAGGCCGGCGGAGCGGCTGCATGATTGTCATCTCCTCTATCCTCTCTTCCCTCGCTGGCCTCCTGCTCCTGGCCTTCCTGGCAGCCTCCACCATGCGCTTGTGAGTGGAGGCAGCTTGGCCTCTTGCCCCACCCCGAACCCCACTCTATTGATGGCACCCAGAAGTCCCCATGCGCACTGTGGTTCTGACTCCCACTCCTTCCACACAGGGTGGCAGCTGGCAATTTCTGCTCGGCCAGTCTCCCATGGGGGGGGGGGGCAGGGGTGATCCAACGGTCCTCCCGGACAGGTTTGGGGGCTGCCACACTCTGGCCCTGCCCATCACTATGTTCGCAAACCCTTCTCCATGGGTCTGATATTCTCCCATGAGAATATCATGGCAGGTAGTCAGGGCGACCACCTGGAGGAGGCAGCCCACCCAGCTAGCTGCCGTGGGGGGGGGGGGATGCGGGATGGGGATACTCTGTGTGTGCAGGCGCATGAGTGTGTGCTTGTGTGTGAGCCTCCATGCCACAGAGACACAGAGCCCCTGATCTCCTCTCTTGTCCAGCTCCAGCCTGTGGTGGCCAGAGGAGGTCCCTGAACAATTACGGATCGGCTCCTTCATGGGGAAGCGCTACACCACCCACCACATCCCACCCAGCGAGGCCGCCACCCTGCCCGTGGGCTGTGAACCCAGCCTGGAACCCCTCCCCAGCCTCAGCCCCTAGCCCACCCCTGCAGCTGAGGCCTGGAGGAGGGGGAGGGGGAGCACGTGCCCGGCCTGCATTCCTCCAGCTGACCTGGTCACACCCTCCCCCTTCCTCCTTGTTCACCAGAGTCCCTTCATTTTCCTCCTTTGGAGTAAAGGGGTGGAGCAGTGACACTGAGGGTTGAACTTGGAGCTTCACACTCGCTGGGCAGGGGCACTACCACTTGAGCCATGAATCCAGCCCGTTATCCATCAGTTTGTTTTTCAGTTAATTTGTCTTTTTCGTAGCTTTTGCCTAGGCCAGTCTCAGACTATGATCCTCCTCCTGCCTCCACCTCTCAAGTGGCTGGGATTATAGAGCTGTGTCTTTGCGTCCAGCATGAAGCATTTCTTTCTTCCTTTTTTGGCGGTACTGGGGTTTGAACTCAGGACCTTGTGCTTGCTAGACAGGCCCTCTTCTATTTTGAGCTGCACCCATTTTATTCAGCTTCAGACTATGATCCTCCTTCCTCTGCCTCCCTCCTAGCAGGGATTACAGGTGTGCTCCACTATGCCCAGCCCCCAGCAGCTCTGACCTGTAGACATCTTCCTTTGCGATGTCATCCAGTAGGACAAAGCTGTCATCCCAGAACCCCCAAGCTTCCCACAGGTGTGGGGATCAAGGTCACTCTGCAGAGCTCAAGGGGATAGAACTGGATGCAGCACAGAGAGGACCTGTCTTGCTGCTGGGCACAGGTCCCTGGCAGCCTGGACTGTGGAGGCTGGAGCCCTGTCCTGCCCTCCCCACCCCCACCCCCCCGCAGCCCACAGTGACAGCAGTGCCAATTCCCCCTGCCCTCCACAGAGCACCTACTGCTGGACAGGACCTGGGACCCAGCCCAGAACTCCACAGGCTAAACAGAGGCCTCAGATCCAGTCTGCATCCTAAGGGAGCATTCTGATCTCTAAGGGCCTGGGAAACACCCGCACATTCACAGCACCAACCATCTCCCCTCAAACATCTTATGTGGAAGCAGGACACGGCAGTACACATCTGCAATCCCAGCACCTGGGAGGCTGAAACAGGAGGATTGAGAGTTCAAGGACAGCCTGGGCTACATAGTGAAAAAAAAAGAAAAGTCTCAAAAACAATAATACCTGGGCTGGGTAGTTCATGCCTGTACTCACAGCTTCTCAACAGGCATTGACGGAAAGGACTAGGGATCACGGCTAGCTCAGGCGAAAAACAAGATTCCTTCTCAACCAACAAGCACGGCGTGATGGTACACACCTGTGGGAGGCATAAGTAGGAGGATCGTGATCTGAGGCTGGCCCCAGGCAAAACCACCAAGACACCCTATCCGGGAAACAACTAAAACAAGATCAGGCCAGGGGCATGGGTTTGGAGGCAAAGAAACTGCCTAGCAATTGTGAGGCCCAGAGTTCAATTCCCATTACTGCCAAAAAAATATATCACTTCATTTTTAATTTGCATATCTTAGCTCATTAGCAAGATTAAACATCTTATTTGTGTCGAGCATTTGAATTTGTGCTTCCATGGTTTGTTTGCTTATTTATGGTTGCTTTGTGTGTGTATGTGTGTGTGTGTGTGTGTGTGTGTGTGTGTGTGTGTGTGTGCTGGTGGTGCACTGGAGGGGGGCCAGGCACCAAGGCCAGCTGGAACCAGTTTCCCATAGAGAGTTGGCCTAAGCAAGGACCCAGAGATGCAAAACTGTGCATGCATGTGTATGCCTCTGTGTGCTTGCATGTGCCTGTGTGTGTACATGCATGCATGTGTGCGCATGCATGCACCCAGGGCCTTGCACTTGTTAGGTAAGCACTCTACCAGCTCTTGGAATATGCTGCAGACAGAGCTGAGGACAGGTGGATGCAGTCTGGGCTTGGCTATGGGGCGGAAGGTGGCAGTCCTGGCAGCTGAGGCCATGCTTGCTGCCCAGGGTGGGTCTGGGTATGGCTGGGCTGTCACCCTTCCACCCTCCCAAGCCATTTGTCCCCCACCATTCAGCCTTGGAGAGGGGCTTCTAGACTCTGGAGACCACTGGGCATGTCAGGGCAGAGTCCAGCCTAGGGCTCCAGCCACCCCCAAATCTGATGCTCATGGGGAAGGAACTTTCTGAGTCCCCTTTGTCCATCTGTCCTTCTGGTTCCTGCCCATATCCTTCCTAGATCCAGCTCAGGGGCTTTCCTAGCCTGACCCCTTCAGGAAGATACCACATCCTCCCTCAGATTGGGGGTCCTGGGACAGCTGTGTCTCCTGCTCACACTGGACAGGGCTGCCCCACTCACCTCTACCTCTCTCCCTCCCACCTCCTACTTCTCAGAGTGTACGGCTCCAAGCTCTCCAGTGCCACCAATCAGGAAGTGCACCCAGTCCACCTTCCCTCTGGCACAGCCCTGGGGTGGCTCACCAGACAGCATCCCTGGCCTTGACCCTGTCTGGCTGGGGATAGCTCTCAGCCAAGGTGGATGCCCTGGTTGAGCTGCAGTTGCTCCTGTGTACCCCAGAATGGGTTGCTCAGATTCCCCACTCTTGTTCTACCAAGGATAGTGTGTGTAGGGGACTGGGGAGGCACCAGTGAACCCTCACAGTTTTCTTGAGCAATGGATCCCCCAACTCAAACCATGGCCTCCAGGTGGAAGGTTCCTATCCACACAGGGTATCTGCAGGCAGAGACGAGCCTCGGCCCCCATCTCCCTCCTCAAGTGATTGATTCACTCAGGCTGGATCCTGAGAGAGTTGATGAGCTGATCTCTCTCTCTCTCTCTCTCTCTCTCTCTCTCTCTCACACACACACACACACACACACACACACACACACCTCCCATTGTAGGATACCGAGGCCCAAAGAGGGTAAGGAGTGCAGACTGCATCCAGAGCACCCAGCTGGATTCAAGTACCCTCTGTTGGGTTCTGGGGATGTGTTCTTTAGTACCAGCTTTCTGTCCCCGGCTATTGTCCTCAGAGCTTAGGGGTGGCCCCACCCCCAGTGCTGGGTCTCCTGTTTAAGGTAAAATTCCCAGTGGTGAATGACAGGGGACTGTGGCTGAGTGGGAGTGGTCCCATGTAAAACACCTGGAAGGCACCCAACCAGGTGAGCCCGCCAAATGGCAGAGCCTGGGGTCAAGAGGCCTGGAAGGTGCTGTGGATGTTGGGGACTCAGAGAACTAGGACATCCTGCCAGCTCTCTCTTCACTGCCCCCTGCTCTACTTGTCCCTGAAGGCCAGATGGGGCTGAGGGTGTATTAGCAAGTGTTCTCTGAGCTAGTGTCCCTTCTTGATGAGAAGACAAGAGTATGGAAGTGGGCTCATGTGCTACACACCCCCACCCCACCCCTGTCCAACCCACCACGTGGTGACACCCAGTGAGCACCCCTCCCCCCTCAGGGCAGCACCTGGAATTGCAAGTGAGTGGGGCCTCAGCTGGGGGATGATCTGGGATGGAAGGTTAGTGCTTTCAGACCAATCTTGCTTGTCCCCTGTCAACAGAAACTTAGAAGCTATTATTTGTGTCTAAAAGAAAACCTGCAGGTCTGCTGAAGCGTTACCAGAGACTGTCTCCAGGAACCAGAAACAGTAAACTCCCTGAGGAAGGGAATATGTGTGGTTGGAAGAGATAAGAGACTTCTTGCTTAAACACAATGTGCATCTTCAATACCATGTGAATGTGGTCAAGTGTGCATGGAGTGTATGTTACAGAATTAAAACGACAGAATATACAGAATCTAGATTCTGTGCTGGCCCTGCATGCCACCCCTTCCCTCATCTCCTGCAGAGGTTCTCTGCGGCTGAGCCACACACACACCACCTCCATCCGCACCCCAGCCAACGCCTCTTTGCAGCTGGTGAAATGAAACAAGCTCATGGAAGCCCAGGAGGCTGCCCCGGAGCCGTCCAGCGAGGGGAGGGCAGAGCTAAGGCTGGAACTCAAGTGTGCAGCCATGATGAGGGCAATGACAGGTGGCTGCAGTCGACCTCTGCGGGGCCCAGGACGGTGCCCCCCGCCCACCTCCCCAAGCCCCCCTGCCCTCCAGATTGAGGAGAGATCCACACAGATGGGCAATTCCAGAAACTGGGCTCTGGACAGACTCCAGGTGAAGGGCGCTGGGGAAACACCTGCAGTCACCCCACTCACCTCCATACAGCAGGGAATTCTCCCCCTGAGACCCTGAGCAATTCTTAGGCGTCGTAAAGGACTGAGTGGCAGGCCCCGCCCCTTCCCCAGAAAACCAATGAGCACCAAGACCCAGAAGGCCACACCCACTCCTGGAATCCCCATCTCTGACTGGTGGAGGGGCTGGAGAGGGGCAGGGAAGGGGCGGGTTGAATGAGCGCTTCCCCAGGCCTCGGTGGCCCGCGCGCCGCACCCGGACCTCGGCGTCCGGGTCCCCCCGCCAGGCCTCCGCGCTCCAACCCGCGGGGGACAAGCCCAGGTCGCCGGGGAGGAGCCTGCCCGCCGAGGTTGGGTGAGGCCCGCCGGCGATGGACGTCCCAACTTTTCGAGAGGGCGCTGCCCCCTTCAAGCCTGACCCTTGCGGGGTCCGCAGGGCCGGTCCAGGAGAGCAGCAGCAGCCAGGGTGTGGCGACCAGGAAGAAGGTGTCGGCTGGGCCGGAACGGAGAGCTGGGGATGGGGGGAGCAAGCCGCGCGGGGTGGTGTGCTCCTATAAGCAGGGCCTTCCTCTGTCGACCCGGGCCCGTGGCACCACAAATGCACACCTGAGACGCTCAGAGGCCAGGGTCTTCAGGGGACTTTGTGATGTGTATTCAAGCAGGAAGAGCCTCACGGGAAGAGCGGGGCTCGAATGGAGGACCCATCCATTTGAGAGGGGATAAGCGAGACTGGAAATGCTGCAGGTGGTGACATCTTTTAAGGATTCTTCTGCTTGCTGGCCAGATTTAGGGGTCTTTCAGACACCCCCTGTCCCACCCTTATCAGTAAGCTCCAGGGCTGAGTTTCTTCTTCCCTGGCCCTCAGGACCCTAGCTCAGGAAGCCTCGGTTTCCCTTTCTGGGAACTCTGGGTCTGAAATCCTACTAGCTGGAGAGGTGGAAGGCCTCCAGCCAGGGGCTCTGGCTGCCTGGAGAAGGCGTGGGGAGAGGGGAGTCCCATGCAGGCCCCGGGTTCAAAGTCTGCTGGGCAGGAGCCTCCCTGGGGTCCTCAGCACATCTAGGATGCAGAGAGAAGGAAGGTGCCAGGACACCTGTGTAGCTGGCCCGCACACTGCCTGAGCTCCCCAGAATGCTTAGTGGCTGGGAGTCCTGACCGTTCCAGTTCAAGGCCCCAGCTCAGTAGTCACCATGGCAATGGTGAGGGAGGGGGCCAGCCCAACTCTAGGTGGGTTTCTGGGTACTAGGACATCAGCATGGAATGAGGTCTCTCTTGTGGGAAGAAAAATGAGCTCAGAGAAGGGTCTCAGCCCCAGGCCACCTCTCAGCAAACACACACAATCTCATCCTGGCCTCCTGTGCCTGGTGTCTGTCACTTCTGCCCCCATCTCCCCAGCAACTGGCCCTAGTGCTTACTTCCAGATTGGCACCAGCCCAGAGTGCTAAAGCTCTCAGGCTGTGTCTACCTAGGAATCCAGGTCCAGGTTCCTGTCCTCTGCACAGCTCGGGGGCTCTGGGAAATAGGTCTCCATCCCAAGGGAAGCATCACCCGGTCCTGCTGGTTTTGCCTGCAGGCTGCACTCTCACCCTGCCCCCTGCCTTCCCTACTTGCCTGTCCCTCCCTGCTCACTCTTTCTTCCCTGCCAGCCCCAAGGTAATTGGTGTACACTGCTTCAACCTGTCAGCTCTCTTCAACCCAGTACACACTCATAGACTCTGAGCCCCTCATCAGAAATAGCTTTTGGATGTAGACCTGCTTGTACAAGGTCAGCCCTGTCTCACCCTCACTGTGTAATCCTGGGCAGCTATTGCCTTCTCTGGGCTTTGCTCAGGGCTCAGACCAGAACCAGCTGAAAGAGCAGGTCTAGACAGTCCTGCCAGCCTCTGCTCCAGAAAAAGCTTGGGCAGGTTGGTGGTCACAGCGTGAAGCACCGTGTCTAGCTCACAGAGGCCAGCTGTGTTGGGGTCATAGGTCCATGAAGGCCAAAACTCACTCATTTATGCATGCATGCATTCAGGCACCCATTTGTGCATTCCTACATGCATTCATTCATCTGATAATCATTACTAAACTTCCAGTTTGGATTCAACCAGTTAGGTTGAATCCAAATGACCTCAACAATCAGGTCACCAAAGGCCTCAAACTCCTCTATGCATTCATGACCCTCTTCCCCACACGGCTGGGAAAGGCCCACAGGCAGAGCCTCGACCTCTCCGTCCACCTCTGCAATGGAGTGGGGTACAGTGGCCAGGTCCCTCTTTCACCCCTGGCCCAGGCAGCCCATGGGCAACATGGCCACTCTGGTTCCAGGGCTTGAATGGAACCATACTGTGCCACGGTGTGGCTTAGCTGAGATTCTTCCTCTAATCTTGTGGACATTGGGTAAGAGAGTGAGCTTTTCCACTGGCCCTTCCCTTTAGCTCCACCCTCAGGTTCCATTACCCATACCCACCCACTGCTGCCCTTGAGGACCTATGGCTTTGCCTACTGCTGGTGCCCCCCATGGCCATACCACTACTCAGAACCCGTCCAGTTCTCGCTTCAGCCCAGGTCTCCATCACTCTTCTGTGGTTCATGGCTGCTCTCGTACCCTGGGCCCATGGCCCTGGCCCCACAGCTTATTAGTTTGTTCCACTCCCCACCCCAGCCTTGCTCATCCTTCACTCCTAGCTCCTCGCCCTGCAGAGCAGAACCAACAGGCCCTGCCCAGGAAGGAAGGCCTTTTCTTCATCCACAGGACCAAGGGCAAGAGACCCTCCTTTAAGAAGCTCCACTACCCTCTCCCCACTGAGGCCCTCAGCTTCTTCACCAGGATGCTCAGCTCCTCCTAAAGGGAGGAAAACGGGACTGGGAGTGATGAGGATATCCTGAGGGGCAACTGTGGCCTTCCTCAGATACCACCCAGGGACCAATGAGTCAGAAAAGGCCAGATTGGGGGCTGTCCACACTGTGCCAAGTGAACATCAACATTTGCTAGCTGGCACCAGTGGTTTAAGTCTATAATCCTAGCTACTCAGGAGGCTGAGATCAAAGCTTGAAGCCAATTAACTACCAAGAAGCCAAAAGTGGTGCTGTGGCTCAAATGGTAGAGCACCAGCCTTGAATATAAAGCTAAAGGATAGTGCCTTGAGTTCAAGCCCCAGTACTGGTACACAGATGAACACTGGCATGCTGAGATCCTACCACCTCAACATCTCTTTTAGGGACAAGTGAAGCTGCTGCCACCAGACCATTGGGGGACAGAGGCTGTGCACCTGCACTACATCTGGGAAGGGAAGCTGAGGCCTTCCTGGCAAGTCTGGCTGGGCACATAGTGTTCCGTGACTGAGTGGTCTGGGAAATGCTACATGCAGTGTGATTTAGTCAAGGTGGGGGAGGGACACACAGGTGACTCAGCCAAGGCCACAATGCCAGCAAACGCAGGACCATCTCATTTCAAGATGAAGGCCTCAGATGGCCCACCATGATACCTGGTTCACAGCAACTTCTAGGCAGCCAGCCTTCCAGAAAGTTCCTGAGCTCTCCCAGCTGAACAAAACACAGTAAGGCCAAAACACACTGCTGCAGCAATAAGAGTGGCTGCACAGGAAGGGCCTAGACCATTTTAGCAGGCCTCAGTTTCCCCATCTGTACTACTAGGCAACTAACTGTGTGACATCATAACTCTGCCCTCTACACCATCAGCAGGACTGTGATAAGACATAGTCCTTGGCCCTGAAGGAGTTGAATGACATTCTGGACCATGACCTTGAGGTCTAGTTCATCTACATGTACCTGCTAGGTTCTGTGTAGGCCACACTTCCATAAGAAGCAAGGAGAGACATACAGCCCCAGGAATGTACCAGCCTTCCCCCGCCCCCCCCCCAACCTTAGGTTTCTTGGGAAATGCAGAGTCTGAGAAAGATGAGTTTTGGAAGAGACTGTGGAGTTTTCTCAAGTAAAAATTTTGCCTCACCTAGGCATAGTGTCACACACCAGTAATCCTAGTACCCAGAAGGCTGAGGCACAAGGATTTTGAATTCAAGACAGCAAGGCCTTGTCTCAAAATAATGGCTAATAATAATAATGAGCTCCTGTGGCAGTGGGCTACAGTTCCCCATAAGCATGGACATTTAACTGTACTCCCAAGGTTATGTCTGGGCTGCAGTGATGACAGTGGCCTGACCTCCTGGGGTGAGGATCTCAGCTTGGATTATGAGCCTCACTGAAGATCTTAGGACTGGAGTCCTAAATCAGCAAAGGTAACTTTAGATTTGAAGGGTTCATAATGATCACCCACAGGCATCTGTCCTTACCCAACAGGGAGCAGGGGCCTCCTGGCTGCCTTGGCACTCCAAAATCTCAGCACAATGCCTAGAACAGGGAGGGATGTTGTAAAAATGCCTGAGCTCCTATCCCACGAGGCAGGCAAGAGTCGAGAGACAAAGTGAATTTGATTTAAGGCCATTAAAGACACAGGACATTTCTGGCACCCCAAGTTATGGATGAAGACTCTTGATTCCTTGGCTACACGTGCACAATAATAAATAGTAAACAGAGATGTAACCCTTGTGGGAGAAAAAAAAAGGTTTGTACCAAATATACAAGGCTTCCAAAGCCAGAGAGTTTGGTCCAGCGAAAACGATTACAGCTGGAGTTTTATTTCTAAGTGTCTTCTTAGCATTAAGTTGTCACCTATAATAAGTAGCATTTCTTTGGGAAGTGCTAGAAGATCCTAATTGGCCCTAGAGAAAGAATTTTTCACTCGTTTCAGGAGAGAACGGATGAGAAGCATATGCAGTTACATTAATGGTTTCATTTTTTAAGACACTGAATGTTGTTTATGGGCTGTCCTGATTTTACTGCACACAGATTAACAATTGCTCATCCCAAGTAGAAAGAAGCCAAGTTCGGAAGGGCGAATTTCATTTACTGGCGGCTCTGAGCCTCTCTGATTGGTTTTTCTCTCCCCTGTCGAGGTCAATAACCAGCTCTGATGTGATTTCTGCTGAATCAGTTTGCTGTGATTTGTCTTGTCCTCTTCCCCCAGGTTAATTACATCTCCAAATGAATGCTGAGCTAAAATGCCTAGCTTATTTCAATAGTCAAAAAAAATGTATTTATCCTTCCTCCACAGTCTTTCACTTTGAATTTTCTCTCCCTCCTGACTTCCTGCCCTGGTTTTTGATAAATAGTTGTGTGGACTTTCTGGGAGGGCTGCGAAGAACTGAGTGGTCCTTTTCAGATTTCAGAATCTAGACTTAAGGGCCAAGCAAGGAGGCCCATGCCTACAATCCCAGCTACTTGGGAAGCAGAGGTAGGAGAATCATGATCCTAGGCTTTTCTGTATAAAAGTGTGAGTCTCTATCTGAAGAGTCTCTATCTGAAAACTAAACTAAAAGCAAAAGAACTGGGGGTGTGGCTCAAGTGTACAGTGATTTCCTAACAAGCACAAAGCCCTGAGTTTAATCCCCAGTACTGTCTTTAAAAAATGCAGCCACGCACTGGTAGCTTACACCTGTAATCCTAGCTACTCAGGAGGTTCTAAGGATTGTGGTTCATAGCCAGCCCAGGCAGGAAAGCCCATGAGACACTCATCTCCAATTAACCACCAGAAAACTGAAAGTGGTGCCATGGCCCAAAGTGACAGAGCACTATCCTTGAGCAAAACAGAGTTCAGGAACAGCACTCATACCCCAAGTTCAAGTCCCAAGACAGACAAAAAAAAAATGCAGTGTTAATGTAGGCAGTATGTTCTCAGCCCCTGGTCCTTCCCACTAGACATTAACTCTCTTCTGGAAATTTACAGTGAGCTTGTGGAAAGATAGCCTTGCCTCCTGGTGAACAAAGCTAGAAACAAAGTTCAAACCAATAATGTGCATATATCTTTTGTTTTTTTGGCCATGGGGCTTGAACTCAGGGCTATGAGCTGTCCCTGAGCTTTTTTACTCAAGGCTAGACCTCTACCACTCTGAGCCTCATAGACTTTCCCACCCAGGCTGGCTTCAAACTTTGATTCTCAGATTTCAGCCTCCTTAGTAGCTGGGATTATAGGCCTGAGCCACCAGCACCTTACAATGGATTTTTAATGAGTATGTGCTGGTACTAGGGCTTGAACTCAGAGTCGAGGTGCTGTCCCATAGCTTTTCACAGCTCTCCTCTTCTGGCTCTTTACAGGTTAATTCCAGGTAAGAATCTCAAGGACATTTTTGACTGGGATGGCTTGAAACTGCTATTCTCAGATCTTACCCTCGTGAGTAGCTAGGATTACAGGCATAAGCCACCTACATCCAGCCAATGCTTTTTTTTTTTTTTGTCAATGCCTGGGCACTGTCCCTCAGCTCTTCAGCTCAAGGCGAGAGCTCTACCACTCGAGCCATAGTATACTTCCCGTTTTCTGGTAGTTAACTGGAGATAAGAGACTCATGGACTTTCCTGCCTGGGCTGGCTTTGAACCGAAATCCTTAGATCTCAGCCTCCTGAGGAGATAGAATTACAGGTATGATCCACCAGCGCCGGCTCAACCTATGGTTTTTAAAGCAAAAACTTTTGTTTAACGAGAATGTGAAGACATTCCAGATTCTCTGGCCATATCCAGATTTCACATTTATTTCATACACCTGCCACAGTCTTGTGGGCACAGAGACAATAATATTCCAGACCCTGGCCTGGCATTCACTAAATTTCCTATAACTGGTCACTAAATTTTAGGCCATTAGGTGAGTAAAAACAATGCTGATAATCAGGCTTAAACCATATAGAAAGGAAGGTGAGCTGTGTTGCCAGTGGCAACAAGGAAAGACTAAGGGTACTGACGTCCTACACAGGAGTGGGCCTTCATACCACAGGCAGTAAGGACCTGAGCCTTTGTCCAGTTTTGCCTGTTCATCTATACATGAAGCCCAGGCTGACTTCAAACTCATGATCCTCCTGCTTCAATCTCCAAGTGCTGGCAGGACAGCACCTGTGTCACCATGTCTTTTTCCCTTTATCTTTGTGTGTGTGTGGTATATGTGTGTGTCAGTACCAGGGCTTGAACTCAGAGCTGGCACTTTGATTCATGTGTTTTAGGTTTCCTGAGAAAAACTCGGATGATAGGTTTCTTCCATTGAGATGGATGGCGTCTCATAAACTTTTCTGTATGAGCTGGTTGGGAACATCAATGCTCCTGCTCTCAGATTCCTAAGTAGCTAGGCTTACAGGTATGGACCTGTGAACATCACAGTGCTCAGCTCATTCCAGTTTGCTTCCAGTTCTCAGCTTCCTCCCCTTCCACATCCATCTTTCTGAAATGCAACCTCTAATTCACCTTTTAGACATTAACTTCTCTAAGAAGCTTGTGTTGCAAGTTCTGTTCCTTTTATTCATGTGGGCCACAGATGCCAAAGGGGAGGAGCGGAGTCTTGTTTATTCACAGGCTCTCTGTCCTTAGATTGATCACTGGCAGTTACAGTAGCAGCAGCCCTGAGCACAACAGCTCTTGTCCAATAATGTTGTTACCCCACTGCTCTTTCCCCTGTCCTTCAGTGGTGTCTGTTTATATATATATATATATATATATATATATATATATATATATACCCTGACTAGACAAAAGTGGCATTTGGCCAAGAATGGCCATATAAAACCAAGCACACACACACAGTCTCAAGATTTTGTGCAGGGTTACCTAATATTGCGCATGCCTACATGACTCAAGGTTACATGGATATGCTGAACCAGCTAAATCACAGTCCTTGGGAAGTGCAGACCCAAAGCCATCCAGAAGCTACTGTGAGAAAAGCCTGACTTACTCCATTTACCCTACAAAGCTTTACTTGGCAAGCTTAGGCACTAATGTACCTCCTGCTGTTAGGGCCTTCCTGTCCCCCTCCCGCTTTTTGGTTAGTACTGGGTTTGAACTCAAAGCCTTAGCTTCTTAAGCTGGGGCTCTACTGCCTGAGCAGTCTCCCCTCCCCGTTCTTTTCAAGTTTTAGGAGTTATTGATCTTACTGGTTTACATGTGTTTCCACCTAAACTGTAAATCCCTTTGAGGAGGACCTGGGGGGGGGGGCGGAATCGGTCATGGGGCTTGGACCTGAGAGCTGTCCCTGAGGTTTTTTGTTTTTTGTTTTTTTTTGGGGGGGGGGTTGGTCGTGGGGCTTGAACCCTGGGCGCTTCAGCTCAAGGCTAGCGCTCTATCACTTGAGCCACAGCGCCAGTTCGGGTTTTCTGGTGCGTAATTGGAGATAAGAGTCTCACAGACTTCCCTGCCTGGGCTGGCTTTGAACCGTGATCCTCAGATCTCGGCATCCTGAGCGGTTAGGATTACAGGCATGAGCCACAGGCGCCCGAGTCCCAGAGCTTTTTTGCTCAGAGTAGTTTGAGAGCCACAGCGCCACTTCCGGTTTTCTGGTGGTCAATTGGAGGTAAGAGTCTCGTGGACTTTCCTGTCCAGACTGGCTTCAAACTTCAGAACTCAGCCTCCTGAGTAGCTAGAATTACAGGCGCATGCCACGAGCGCCCGGCAAGGACCCCCTTTCTAACTGCACGTAACAGAATGCTTATTTAAAGCAAATGACAATGTCCAAAAAGAAATGTACTCATCACCTGCTTATGTCATTGTGTGCAACACCTTTAGAATAGTAAACGACTTGCTTCATAAAAAAAATAAACGACTGAATATGGGAAACCGTACAACTGCTCGTTAGCTATAATTACTTCCGTTCCAATAGTAGTTCTCTAGCGACACTGACGCGCTAGCTTCGGACTGACTCTACAACTACCAGGAAATATACTACTTTCAAGGACTAAGTTTAGAGGTGCTCGCACAGCGTCTGTACGTGGAACACACAAACACATCACGTCTTACAGGCAACAAAGACTACAGCTTGTAGAAGCTTCCTCTGCAGCGCCGACTGAGCTCGGGCGGGCCCGCGGACTCCCTCCGGAGGCCCCAAACCACCCAGAGCCCTTCTTCTCCCAAGACCGGGCGGGGCCTGCCGGGTGCGGGCGGCGAGGCGCCACCACGAGGGTGAGGGCGGAGGTGGGGACGGCACCCCGCAGGGAACGAGCTTCGTCGCAGGGGGACGGGGGACAAGACCCCGGGCCTGAGCAGAACCCAGGAGACGCGACCTGGCCGGAGACTCGGCGCGCCAGCGTCTGAAGAGCCTGGCGCGCCACCGTGGGGTCCTTCAACGCTCTCGGCGCAGGGTTCTCAGGGCCGTCTAGATCACTGCCCGGGCACAAGGCGGAAAGGGGAGCCTCGGGGAGGCAGAACATGTGGCCGTGAGTAGCGTTTTGAGATATTCTATCAAGGAAAGGAGACTGAACGGGTTCAAGCTGCGGTGGGAATTGTCCCCGAAAAAGTGGCGCGGTACCAAAATGATCAGGCAGTGTGGTAGACAGCCCGGAAGCCGGCCCTTCGGTTTGTACACAGCTCCGGGGGCCGTGAGCACCTAAGTTCCCGCTCTGCCCGGGACCTGTCCCGCGTGGGGTCGGGTCCTCAGGGGCGCGCCAGCCCGGTGGCGACGGGAGCTCTCCGGCCTGGTGTGGGTACACCTCGCTTTTCGGAGAGCCGCGTGGCGCCGCCTCCGCAGACAGCCTGGAGGACGTCCGGCCGCAGCGGCCCGAGGTGAGGGCCGCACGCGGGGGGCGCGGGGCCGCCGAGGACGCGCTGGGAAGAGCCAGTGATGGAAAGGTTTGGGTTGTGTTGGAGCACAGCCGTGAACCTCGATCGCATCGAGTGTGTGTTAATAGTCGTTCCGTGGGTATCGTCCATCTGGAGCCTCTGGGCGGGATGTCTCACATCTATAATCCCAGCTCGGGAGGCTGGGGTCTGATCGTCCAGGTTCGAAGCCAGCCCAGGCAGGAAAGTCCACGAGGCTCTTATCTCCAGTTAATCACCAAAAGACCGGAAAGGGGGCTGTGGTTCCAGAGGTAGAGCACTAAAGCCCCAGGACTTGCACGAAAAGAAAAGAAGGCAATAAAATGATGTGCTGCGGACATGTTACCATCATTGAAGCAACAGCCTTCAACTGGATGCAGTAACCTAAAAAACTTACTAATGAAGTTATTGGCCACTGTGCACTGTGTGCCAGCCTTTGTGCTCCGTGGCATCTTGTGTGCAATCCTCGCTGAAGTCCAATTTTTCCATATCATAGGCAAGGAAATAGATTCATTAAGTCAGTTCAGGACTGCAAGTATTAAGGTAAAAACTTAAATTCATGCATTGATCTGCCTCTCCAGCTCTAGGTCTTTTTTTTTTTCTTTTGTCAGTACTGGGACTTGAGCTCAGAACTTTGTGTTTTCACCTAGTTGTTTTCACTCAGACTTGGTACTCTACCATTTGAGCCACACTTCTAGTCCAGGTTTTTGTTTTTTTTTGGGGGGGGTCTGGTTGTGGGGCCTGAACTCTGGGCCTGGGCGCTGTCCCTCAGCTCTTCAGCTCAAGGTTAGCGCTTGAACCACTTGAACCACAGTGCCACTTCTGGCTTTTTTCTTTTTGCTTATGTGGTGCTGAGGAATCAAACCCAGGGCCTCATGCATGCAAGGCAAGCGCTCTACCACT